GGCAGGCACTGACAGGTCGACATTGCAAACAAGAATTGTCTCCACAGCAGAATTTATAGATGAATTTAGTAGTAAGTTTCTACTATTAAAACCTCATTCATTTTTATCAAAACAGCAGTCGCAATTCTTTAGTGCTAAGAAAGCAAATTTAGAAGATGGTGAAGTACTCGTTGTTACGATCGAATTCGTAACGAATTTTTTTATTTATATTTTAAAATTATTCTTAAAATATTTATATTATATAGAATCTAAAAAATTTTGGGAATTATGTAATTAAGATTAAGTACACGTTAACACAATTATACTTATAGTATCAAAAAAAAAAAAGATTTAAGTGGTTAAAATTCATCAAACAATTTTATAAAAATTGTCAAAAAAAAAAAACCTCAATGATTTTTTGGCACCTGAATTTTTTTTAAATAAAAGAAAATTATATTTAAAAGATTAACATTACAAATTAAAATAGACAACGGAAATACTACTGTTGAAATTGGTTGAACTTTAAAAAGTCAACTGTGAAAAGATTTTAGAATGTATTGGTAAAAATACCAATAAAAAGAATGCACACCTGCAATGGCAATATAGAGTACAGATCATTGAACTATATCAGACCACCTTAAAGGAATTTGCAAACTTGCAAAAAGCTTGCATGGTAACAGCGGTATTTGGTGGGCCGTGTGCAACAAAATCCCCCACCTTACCGATTTTAAACCGATTCCAGGGTGTGACTGTTGGTTCAATTGGAATTATCGAGGAGTTTTAATGAGTATTTCCCGCAGTGCGGATGTTTATAACATTGTATTTGATTTTCCCGCATTAAGGCGGAGGTTTTAGCATTTTATCCCCGAAGTAAGGGTTGAGTTTGTCAATTTTGAATTAATTGAATTTACAAAGTAAGTTATAAAAAAAATATTATAATTATAAAAGAAATAAATTTTTATTGAAATTAAATACATATACAAAAGTGATTAAATAATAGTTTGAAACAAAAAGAAAATAAAACAGTGAAAAATAAGAAGACAAAATAGTGAAACAATCAAATAAAAAATAATAACTAATTGCAATTTTTGTCGAATAAAGTGTCTTAAAAAGAAAGTTCATTAGAGTGAATAAAATTTAAAAGGCAGGGTATCAAATAATAAAACCTTCGACCTTGTGGATTAGAGATTTTTTTTGGTAATCTCATATTGTCTAAATAGTATCAGAATTAGTTACAAGTTATTAATTCGGTGATCCCGTTTTTTAAATATTAAAATTAATTTTGAAACGTGTTTGCAATAGTTCTATATAAAATAAAAATATTTAAAAGAATATTAAGGAAAAACTAAAAAATCATTGAAAGAGATAAGAAATAAAACGAATCAGTAAGAAGGATTATAAGCATTGTCACAGTTGTGAATCACATATTAAGTGAAATAAGAGAATTTCCTTGTCTCTTACCTTTTAAAAAGAATAAACTACGTAAGTTTGGTGAGTTTGAACATTTAAATACTCTATACACAATACACACACATATATACAAATTATATTTCAAATATTTTCTTCATAAAAAATAATATAACTATCCATATTGGTCTATATGTTAATTGTAGATGGGAATATTATTATTCGTTATTTTAATTTGTCGATTTAAGAGATTTTATATAATTGATTTACATAAAAAGGGTATCTACTTGAATAATTATGGCAATTTAACTATGCGTTAGTTGGGATTTCAATTGAACAATTAGAATTAGTGCATTTTTTTTATTCTTAATCTGCAATAAATCTTTATATTATAATTTCTACCTATGAGGTGTTTTATTACAGCGTGCTCAGCTGTTTCAACCTTTTTACCTTTTCATTTCATTCAAATTAAAAATACCGTCTAATCGGAGTTGTTGAAATAAATAACAAGCTTCAAAAGAAAATCCATGACCTTTAAAATAATTTCTATTTTCCGGAGAGCAATTACGTTTTATCTTTGGGATGATTTCAATTTTATTCTCTAATTCATTTTAAAAATATCGAAAACAATTTCGATACAGTTAAAGTTGAATTTGTTTGAAGTAAGATATTTTTTTTGTTATTTAATAAATAAATAATCAAATTCATCTGTTACGAACCGAAAAATAATTATTTGTTTAAATTATCAAAGTCAAGAAAAATAATTCAGAAATCAAAAATTTAAAGAATAAAAATTTTTGTGTTGAGCGATGAAATTAGGTTTACCGCGCGCCTGCGGAGGTTCGTTGGAGGAAATCAAGCTGCCAGGACCGGATGGTTCTGTTTTTATTTTATGGGGTCCGTTTATCTCTTTTAGAAGAGTTCGCCAAGCAACATCCCTTTTTGATTTGTAATTTAGGAAAATAAATTAAGAGCAAAGACAATAAAGAAAACAAGATCTTAAATAAAAAGTACAATTTATTTTAAAATCAAGATCAAGAAAATTATTACAGAGAAATACAGAGAGAGAAATAAAAAAAAAAGGAACGATACAATATATTTAAAACTCACCCTCTCGTCTTTAAAACATGAATTTCTTTTAACTTTATCCTACCGCTGAGTTTTGAGATGCTCGGCGGGCGAAAATTCTTCAATGTCTTTGTTATTGCTAGGCCTCTCAAATTTGGGTGACCTAGGAAAACACACACACGCACATAAACTCACGGGTCGAGGGAAGAAAATAAAAAAAAAGCACGCACTTGTGAACTAAATTTAATATATATATATATCTCGAATCTTAGTCCGTGAATCTAATTTTTCGCGTGATTTTAATTATTAACACTAATCAAAATTTTAATTAATAAAATTAAAACTGCGTTAATAATTAATGGGGGTCGGGCTTCACTTTCGTGGAGCTTTTACCTTTTGATTTTTTTTTTCGTCTATCCTAGATCCTAGACACTATCTTGTAGTGGTCTGTTAGGCTAGGGGTCGATTAATAGACGGGCGAGTCCCGGCAATTCGCAATGCGTTTATGCCTCCGCGAGGAGCTGACTAACAGAGCGAAAATTGTACTGCAAATTTTGAAATTTTCATTCAAGCCTTTTATTCCTTGCTTCTAAATCTGGGAGAAGATGTTGGGATAGAAGAGGTGGTTATGGAAGTAAAAAGTGGGGTCGGGATTCTGGGCCCATTGGCTAAGGGATTTTTGCTGACTTGCGGATCTCACGCTTAACGTAAGAAACGGAAAGGCGTCTGCGAAAATTGATACTTTTTGGAAATTATTATTTTCAAATAATTCCAATCACAAAAAAAAATTGATAAAAAAATAAAAAAAAATAATAATAATAACAACAATAAAAAAATTGATTATTGTTATTATTAATCAATAAATAATTAAATTATTTATTAATAAAATTGCACTAGTAATTAGTGCTGGTGTTCTGGTTATAATTGCTTTATAATCTCAGCAACACCTTATAATTTGGAATGGTGCAAATCAAATTTTGAAATTATTAATTTCTCTATTATTTCTATGAGTTTTAAAAGAAATAATATCATCAGCCTGAATAATACACGTGCGTTTGCTTGTCAAGCGCATGGGGCCCAGGGGAAGAGGGAGGATGCAGCGAAGGAGAAGAAGCAACAAGAAGAGACTTGCAATGTATGAGTGGCCTGTACTGCGTATAGTATGCCTGTGTGCATGCCGCTATAGCTAGTGTCGTCCCAAGAAGTTGCATATACGTGTGTGTGTCGCCACAGTCACCCAAAGATGTATAGGTGTAAAGCGACATATACAGATGGTTATTTTATTTCTTTACTTCTAATTCAATCTACTATTTTAATTTTATGAAACAATTTCTTTCCTTTTTGTTTATACCAGATCGTGGTTGATTTTAATAATTTTAGGATTTGTCGTTACATTATATACTTTCAATATTTCTTTTGTTCTTAAGATATCTTTTAATTATTTTAACAACATATCAACTTTACAACCGAAATATGCGATGCCAATTATGAATTACAACTAAAAAAAAAACTTTAGATTATTTTGCCGTCGCAGAAATGCGTACGCATAACCCATACATTCGACATTTAATTACGGAGCCACGTTTAAGTACTTGCAAGGACATCATGTGTTAATTTTGAATTGGGAATGTTGCCTCAACTTTTATTGATGTTTCTCCATTATTTGGATCTTATTTTAAACCCTTTTTTTTTTACATTAATTTTCCATAATTTCTATGAGAAAACCGCGTTGTTTTCTTTATTTCTTATTTTATGATTACTAGGACAAAAAAAGGGGGGGGGGCATTTCCAAACAATTCTGGAATATTATTTCTGAATAAAAATTATTTTCTTAAACATTGTTCTTAGACGAATTATTATTTTAGAAATTCCAATAGTGTTAATGAAAATGCAACCCTTTGTTATTCGACGATTTCCTGAAGTTCATAAAATTTATTGTTAACCAATTTTTTTGTTGGTTATAAAAGGAATATGCTCAATTGAGCCAACTTCGTTCCCGGTGCAGTGCTGACGCAGCTTATGCTTGGTGATATCCGAGGATATCACCTTTCAATAGTATTTATCGCGAGAAACATTTAAAAGAAAAATGATTCTTAATTTTAATAATGTTTAAATAGTTTTCTATTTTTTTTTTGTTTTTATTTTTGTTAATGTGAGGTTATACCGTAACAACCCACCAAGGATTTTCCATTTTCGTCCCCGAAAATTTACTGCGGTGGAAACGAATTTGGGTGCATGACAGCTTTATGAGTTTCAGGAAAATAGGCCTTTCTTTGTTTCAAATTTACGATCTTAGAATTCGTTGAAAGAAAAATTTTCTTTTCTTTTAACGCACTATAAGAAGTTAGAATGTATTTCTTATAATGCGCGTTCTTAATCTCGGTGATTCTATGTTTCGGTATAGAATTACCGTGATAAGGGCTCGACGTCGCCGAGGTCCAGACGCAGGTCCCCGCAAATCAGTTCGGTGACGACCGAGATGCTAATTACCTCGTAGGATCCTGTAACCTTTCCGTTTTCGTGTGGTTTTCCTTTTTCTAAAAAAAATGGAAGTGCGAGGTGAAAATAGTGAAAAAGAAAGTGTAGAAAACAGGAGTGAAAGTGAAGTGGATAGGGATGAAAGTGAAAGTGTAGGAGACGGGAGTGAAAGTGAAGTGGATAGGGATGAAAGTGAAAGTGTAGGAGACGGGAGTGAAAGTGAAGTGGATAGGGGTGAAGGCGAAATGGACAGGATTGAAAGTGAAAGAAACTTAGTTAGAGAAACGAGGGAAAAAATGTTAAACTGTGGAAGGGAAGTGGGAGAGGAAGGGAGGAAATTAAACTTATCAGGAAGTTTAGCTTTCTTTGCTTCGGGAGTTGTATATAAGGTCCTCCCCCGGAAAGAAGACGGTTTCCTCAGAAGGGAATATTTTGCCAGGCGGCTTACCCTGGGGGGTGAGATAACTTCTCCTGGGACAGCGGCACAAAAAGTGGACTACTTAAAAAAAATGGAAACCTGCCTCGAACTACTCCACCTTTTGGAGGGTCTGAAAAACCCTTTAAGGTAAGAAACTTTATTTATCCAAAATATTGTCAAGATAATGATAAATAAAATATATATATATATATATATATATATATATATATAAATAAAATTCATAAAAAAAGTTATTACACTAATCAAACTCAGTTAAACTATTAGAACTGAAATAACCCAATTATTTAAATCAACCCAATTCAATTCAATTAGATCTAACTAAAATAAGTGAACTGAATTAGATTCAGATTAAACTAAATACATCTAATCTAGATAAGTTAAACATAATCAAATCTTACTAGCTAGACTAAAGTGAACTTTCCTAAATAAACTAAAGTAGATTAAACTGAATTAAAGTTAAGTAGCTAAACTAAGTTACTTAAAACTAAACTAATTCAACTGAATTGAATTAGCTAATCAATTTCAGTGTTATAATTTAGTGTTTGAATTAAACAAACTAAGGGCCAGTTAATTTCAACCAGGGTTTAGCCATTTTGACCCGAAAAAAAAAATTTGTGAAACGCATAATTTTCACTAACCCGAATTTACCGTCTTAAACTCTAGTCAAATAAGGTTGTGGAACCGGCCAAAACCAAATAAAATTAACCAAATAAAATTTAGCCAAATTAAATTTAAACTAAAATTATAGACTAAATTACTTGAACCAACTTAATGAATTAAAATAAATAACTAAAAACAGAATTCATTTTAATTAGCCAAACTGATTATTCAAACTAAATCAATTCGACTAAATTAAATTGACCAAGCTAAATTCCAAATAAAATAGTAAACTAAGTTAAACCCATTCAGCTGAAGCAAATAGACTAAAATAATTAAATCAAATCCATTTAGCTGAACCAAATCAAATTAGCCAAATCAAACTTAACTAAATAATAATAAAATCAAATTTAACCAAATCAAACCTAGCCAAATTATATTAGCCAAATTAATCTTAACTAATTAAACTAAAATAACTAAACACAGTTAATTTTAGTTAGCCAAACCAATTCAATTAAACCAACTAAACTAGAATAATTAAACTCAATCCAACTGAACCTAACCAAATTAATTAACCAAATTAAAATAACCAAATTAAATAAAATTAAATAACCAAACTTAAATAACCGTAATCTAAATAACTAAACAAAATAGTTCAATCAAATTAAACCGAACTAAATTAGAATAGACTGAACTAAAACTAAATAAGTTTTAACTAAATAATTAAGTTTAAATAGTTATTGTTTAAATAACTAACTAAAATAGTTAAACTAAATTAAACTAACTAATTAAATTTAAATAGCCATTATTAATCCAATCAATCAAATCAGTCAATCAATTAAATTTAACTGAATTAAATAAACTAAATTAAATCCAAGTTATTATAAGTTAAACTAATTTAAAATTAAATAGGGTAAACCAAATTAAATTTAACTAGCTAAACTAAATAAACTAAATCCAACTGAATTAGGTAGAATAAACTAAAATAACTAAACAGAGTTAATTTTAATTAGCCAAACCAATTCAATTAAACCAACCAAACTAGAATAATTAAACTCAATCAAACTGAATCGAACCAAATTAATTAACCAAATTAAAATAACCAAATTAAATAAATTTAACTAACCAAACTTAAATAACCGTAATCTAAATAACTAAACTAAAATAGTTTAATCAAATTAAACCGAACTAAATTAGAATAGACTGAACTAAAACTAAATAAGTTTTAACTAAATAATTAAGTTTAAATAGTTATTGTTTAAATAACTAGCTAAAATAGTTAAACTAAATTAAACTAACTAATTAAATTTAAATAGCCATTATTAATCCAATCAATCAAATCAGTCAATCCATTAAATTTGACTGAATTAAATAAACTAAATTAAATCCAAGTTATTATAAGTTAAACTAATTTAAAATTAAATAGGGTAAACCAAATTAAATTTAACTAGCTAAACTAAATAAACTAAATCCAACTGAATTAGGTAGAATAAACTAAAATAACTAAACAGAGTTAATTTTAATTAGCCAAACCAATTCAATTAAACCAACCAAACTAGAATAATTAAACTCAATCAAACTGAATCGAACCAAATTAATTAACCAAATTAAAATAACCAAATTAAATAAATTTAACTAACCAAACTTAAATAACCGTAATCTAAATAACTAAACTAAAATAGTTCAATCAAATTAAACCGAACTAAATTAGAATAGACTGAACTAAAACTAAATAAGTTTTAACTAAATAATTAAGTTTAAATAGTTATTGTTTAAATAACTAGCTAAAATAGTTAAACTAAATTAAACTAACTAATTAAATTTAAATAGCCATTATTAATCCAATCAATCAAATCAGTCAATCAATTAAATTTGACTGAATTAAATAAACTAAATTAAATCCAAGTTATTATAAGTTAAACTAATTTAAAATTAAATAGGGTAAACCAAATTAAATTTAACTAGCTAAACTAAATAAACTAAATCCAACTGAATTAGGTAGAATAAACTAAAATAACTAAACAGAGTTAATTTTAATTAGCCAAACCAATTCAATTAAACCAACCAAACTAGAATAATTAAACTCAATCAAACTGAATCGAACCAAATTAATTAACCAAATTAAAATAACCAAATTAAATAAATTTAACTAACCAAACTTAAATAACCGTAATCTAAATAACTAAACTAAAATAGTTCAATCAAATTAAACCGAACTAAATTAGAATAGACTGAACTAAAACTAAATAAGTTTTAACTAAATAATTAAGTTTAAATAGTTATTGTTTAAATAACTAGCTAAAATAGTTAAACTAAATTAAACTAACTAATTAAATTTAAATAGCCATTATTAATCCAATCAATCAAATCAGTCAATCAATTAAATTTGACTGAATTAAATAAACTAAATTAAATCCAAGTTATTATAAGTTAAACTAATTTAAAATTAAATAGGGTAAACCAAATTAAATTTAACTAGCTAAACTAAATAAACTAAATCCAACTGAATTAGGTAGAATAAACTAAAATAACTAAACAGAGTTAATTTTAATTAGCCAAACCAATTCAATTAAACTAACCAAACTAGAATAATTAAACTCAATCAAACTGAATCGAACCAAATTAATTAACCAAATTAAAATAACCAAATTAAATAAATTTAACTAACCAAACTTAAATAACCGTAATCTAAATAACTAAACTAAAATAGTTCAATCAAATTAAACCGAACTAAATTAGAATAGACTGAACTAAAACTAAATAAGTTTTAACTAAATAATTAAGTTTAAATAGTTATTGTTTAAATAACTAGCTAAAATAGTTAAACTAAATTAAACTAACTAATTAAATTTAAATAGCCATTATTAATCCAATCAATCAAATCAGTCAATCAATTAAATTTGACTGAATTAAATAAACTAAATTAAATCCAAGTTATTATAAGTTAAACTAATTTAAAATTAAATAGGGTAAACCAAATTAAATTTAACTAGCTAAACTAAATAAACTAAATCCAACTGAATTAGGTAGAATAAACTAAAATAACTAAACAGAGTTAATTTTAATTAGCCAAACCAATTCAATTAAACCAACCAAACTAGAATAATTAAACTCAATCAAACTGAATCGAACCAAATTAATTAACCAAATTAAAATAACCAAATTAAATAAATTTAACTAACCAAACTTAAATAACCGTAATCTAAATAACTAAACTAAAATAGTTCAATCAAATTAAACCGAACTAAATTAGAATAGACTGAACTAAAACTAAATAAGTTTTAACTAAATAATTAAGTTTAAATAGTTATTGTTTAAATAACTAGCTAAAATAGTTAAACTAAATTAAACTAACTAATTAAATTTAAATAGCCATTATTAATCCAATCAATCAAATCAGTCAATCAATTAAATTTGACTGAATTAAATAAACTAAATTAAATCCAAGTTATTATAAGTTAAACTAATTTAAAATTAAATAGGGTAAACCAAATTAAATTTAACTAGCTAAACTAAATAAACTAAATCCAACTGAATTAGGTAGAATAAACTAAAATAACTAAACAGAGGTAATTTTAATTAGCCAAACCAATTCAATTAAACCAACCAAACTAGAATAATTAAACTCAATCAAACTATTCGAACCAAATTAATTAACCAAATTAAAATAACCAAATTAAATAAATTTAACTAACCAAACTTAAATAACCGTAATCTAAATAACTAAACTAAAATAGTTCAATCAAATTAAACCGAACTAAATTAGAATAGACTGAACTAAAACTAAATAAGTTTTAACTAAATAATTAAGTTTAAATAGTTATTGTTTAAATAACTAGCTAAAATAGTTAAACTAAATTAAACTAACTAATTAAATTTAAATAGCCATTATTAATCCAATCAATCAAATCAGTCAATCAATTAAATTTGACTGAATTAAATAAACTAAATTAAATCCAAGTTATTATAAGTTAAACTAATTTAAAATCAAATAGGGTAAACCAAATTAAATTTAACTAGCTAAACTAAATAAACTAAATCCAACTGAATTAGGTAGAATAAACTAAAATAACTAAACAGAGTTAATTTTAATTAGCCAAACCAATTCAATTAAACCAACCAAACTAGAATAATTAAACTCAATCAAACTGAACCGAACCAAATTAATTAGAAAATTTCATGTTACTAATTCAAATAATTATACGTAAAAAGAAAAAAATTTTTTTTTTTATTGGGATTTTGTCCTTACTAGTTGTATTAGTCGTTTATTGTATTCATTTTCATGTTTAATTATGTATATGTGATACTGAGAAATAACTTACTTAAGTGTAGGAGATAAAATGTTTATGTATATCTTGTTACAGATTTAAATTACCTAACATTATTTTCTTTCCAAAAAGTTTTATATAGAAGACAACCAAATAATGGTTGTACAGTAATAAAAATGAAATTTATTTATATATATATATATTTTTTTTTTAAGCTTCACAACCTCTATAGAAAATAAATATTTTTAGAAGATGAAAACATGAAATTGTATTAATTTTAATGTTCTTTTCATAGTGATTTCAACTATATTTTAATTTTATTTTTGATACTAAATTGCAATTTTTATTTTAAAAACATTATTTAAAAATAATTTTTTTTTTTTTTTTGTATAAAATACTGTCATAAAACTATTTGAAAAATACGAATATTTGGGTTAACAAAACATTTTGCAATAATTAACGACAAAAAAAAAATTTTTTTTTTGTTTATGTTTTTTTTTTTTAAATTTTAATTATTCTATTTGAAAAAAAAAATATGGACAATTGTTACTATTATTCTTATGAAGACCTTTGGATATTCTGGGCCAGAATAAATTCTTCATTTCTTTCTATACAGTTTTCTTAATCATTCGTTAAATTGATTTATAGAATTCAATATAAGATCCTTATTCTTCTATCAGCTTTGACATGCTATTCTACTCCTCCAACTTCTTCGTAAGTTGCATCAAGCGCATTTTGCAAAAAAAAATTACACCGCGATTTCAATAAAAACAATGAGAATATTTACCTACAAGATTCTTTAATAATTCAATAATTTTTATGGAAACAACAGACTTTTTTTTTTTTTCAATTCAAAAAAAATTTTCCAATTCTACTTTTTTTTTTTTGGAGTGGTTTCAAAATTTTGTTCAAATTATTTATTTCTTTTTTTTTTTAGAATTGCCGTAGAATATGGCGATTGGATTCCTGCACCCCTGAGAAGAAATCCCAATCTGGGGTGGGATTTCAATGAAAAACTCCTTCAGAACAGTCCGCCCAAGAAATACTGTTTAATGATCTGGCGCCAAGAATATTATTGGCAGAGAGATACCGAGCAGTACTTATGCAGGGGTTTTTGGGCAACAGTAAGAAAATTAGCTCATACAATTTTTTTTCTCTTCTCTTTTTTTTTATCAAATTAATTGCAAAATGTTTTTGTTAGGGCGCTTTCCGGGATCCGGCCATGATCAAGATCTTAGATGACCGTGTCAGAATCATGGTGGGAGGGGAATTCAGCCGCGTCGAGGAAGAAGAGATGTAAGTGTTTTTCTTTTAAGAAACCTGATTCATCGGGATTAAAGCAAGGGCATTAGCTCTAGTAAGGGAATCTCTTCCCTTTTTTTTTTTTAGTGTTTTGAAGGACCTCTTGGCTCGTTCTCCACCGCGTTATGGGGCTTATACTGTGCGAGAGGAGCTTTTCCTCTCGTTTATAGAGGAATTCATACCCGTGGATAGAGGAATGGTGAACTTTCGTTCCCGCTGGCAATTGGTGAGCTTTATATCAATTATGAAACTGATTATGTACAAGGTGGTAGGATGTAAATGCACATACATATACATACTCATGCACACATACATACATACATGCATGCATGTGTATTTCCATTTATATACACATACATATACACATATATATATATATTTTAGTGCTATGACGTTCCGGTTGACGAGGCCTGGGAGACTGTGGGCCATCGTTCGCTAGCCGAGGGAAGGCAAGCACGCCGAGAACAAAGAAGAAGGGCTCGATTATACCACTGAGGGCGCACTAGTGTAATGTAGTAATAATAGTAATAGGACAGATCGATTTAATTACTTTTAGTTAAATTTTAATTAATTATATTAACGTATAACCTTCTTCTTTTTTTTTTTTTAACTATAAGTTTTTTTTTTTTAATTAATTAAGCCTTTATTAAATATGATCAAAAAAAATTAAAAAAAATAAAATAAAAGTATCGTTATAAATTTTACTACTGGAAGGAGAACAGCAAGCGGTAACGGTAAGAATTGAAAACTGAACCCAGAGCAAATAACAGAGAAAAGAAGAGTTTTGATTGGACATGAGAATTTTTACATTCCAAAATCGTTACTGTTTTCGGTTCAATGTTAACCAAAGAATGATAAAATAATTCTATTTTGGTCAGTAATTTAAACATTTTTAAAGAAGACATTACTTCAAATAATGCAAAATTAAAAATTGATAAAATAATAGATGATAGATGTAAGATTGTATTTGATAACAGACAAGTAATCGGTTGCTTCAATCAAATAAGATTTGTGTCATGACTATGTAGAAAGATAATGCAGAATTAATTATTTTAGTTATCATTTACGACTAAATAAAATTTGGCTAACTATACCAAGTTAAACTAAAATAAACTAAGTTAAATTTATTTAATTAAACCAACCAATCAAACTAAATCAAGCCTGACTGAACTTAACCAACCAAACCAGGCTAGATTAAGTCAAATTTAATTGACCAAATCGGCTGAATCAAATTAACCATACTAGGTTAAATTGAATTGAGATAATTGAATATTTGATGTAAATAAAATTATTTGATACAATCGATATATTTTGTCACTTTAAGTAAACCAATTTATTTGATGTAAATAATGTATTGGTTAAGGCAAAATAAGAATATCAAGAAGAGAGAAAAATTTTGATAAAATTAGTTTATTATAAAATTAAGTTATTTAAAACTATTAAAACTCCCTTTTTTTTAATAAAATTAGCTGTTGTAAAAGTATTAGAACTATTAGTCTGATCATGACTCAATTGACCTATCCAAATTTACTTGATTCAGGCAAACATTCGGAATATGAAATATAAACATTTAATTTATGTTATTTAAGCAAACGAACACCTGCCTGTTAGGAAACAAATACTTACTTAATTTTAATCATAATTAGGCAGTGGTTATCTATAGGCAGCTACAAAACTTGCCTTGTTGTACAATAGTTTGTTTGTTTTTGTTTTGTTGTTTTTTTTTTAAATCCAAACCCAAACCAAATTGTTGTTACAACCAATTTCCATAGTTGGTCTTCCTTGGCCTGATCTGGAGGTTGTCCTAGGAATCGACACGTCCTGGGTTTTAGCATACATCCTAGAGCCAATTTTTAAAGGCGTCAAAAATGCTCAGAGCATGCTGCTCATCGTCTAGGACTGGAATGGAAAGGTGTGCCCGAAGTGAGAAAGATGTTAAACCATAATGTTGACATTCCCCTTTTTTTTTTTTTTTTTTTCTTCTTCCCCTAAAAGGAAATTGAAGTTAGTATAAAACTTAAATCTTAATTGGAACATCGAGAATTGTGAGCTCGATAGTTCCAAATGCTAAGACCAGGCGGTTGGTAATATCTGTAGTCTCAATACGCTTGCTTTGATCAAGTGTGGACTCAGATTCCAATTCACTGAATTTAGTTGAGTTTGTATTAAGACTGTTCAACGGACCCAACTGGATCCGGACAAAATACGAGTGTATAATAATCTTAATCAAGGTGAAAAGGATGTTGCTTGACAGTGAACAAAATTCGCGTGTCGCGTCGCCACCGCGGATTTTTCCTGCTAATTGCTACCCGGAGGTTAATCAATGGAAAGATAAGAGCTAACCCAAAGTTATAACGTCACTATCGTAGCCTAGAGTTGTGTCTGATGTTGGGAGGAAACTACACTAACAGAAATGACAGAACTATTTTCCTTTTTAAATCGCGTCCCTTAACTACAAGCAAGAATAATCTAATCGTAAGGAATCTTAATAATATGTGATAATAAAATAAAATTATTTAACAAAATAAGCAGTGTAAAAAGTTAAAATAAAATATTAACAATTTTTGGATATAACAATATAATATAATATAATACAATTATATTCACATAGATACAACAACACAACATAATTACATTCAAGAATTCTAAAAAAAAAATATATATATATATATTTTTTTTTAAAGTTGTTAAAGGTTATATATCGAAATTATGATGAAAGAGTTTTAGTTTTTATTCTTAAAAATTTAACCTGCCTATCAATATAATATTATTATTTGCAGGCTTGTGCTATTATTATTTTATTTTTAATTTAATTTAATTTCAAAAGTTTTATAAATTTCAGTCAAAAAAAAAGTTTTAATAGTCAAAGGACACAATTCAAAGGAATTTCCACTTAATAGAAAAGAATTCCTCCCACGCAAATATTAAGAGGAAAATCCGCTCATAGTAAAAGGATTCCTCTCTGCTTAAGGAGGCTGCCTCGTGAATGCACTGTTAGAAAAGAATTGAAAACTAAAGAACCCGAAGTAAATATTCATTGGTTCGCAAAAAAAAAAAAAACTGACTATTATTGAAAATTCATTACTCTTATTAAAAATTCAGTACTATTAAAAGTCATTACTGTGTTGTTGAAAATTTAAAACTCTTACTAAAAATAAAAATTCAAATTTAATTGTTTAGTTAAACTTTAATAAATTTTCAAATCTGGGTTCTTCAATTTTCAACTCTATGTTATTAAATTTCCAATTAAATGCTATTGCATTTTCAATTCCATATTATTCAATTTTCAATTCAATGTTATTCAATTTTCAGCTCAATGTTATCGAATATTCAATTACACGTATTGATATGGACTTCACTTACATGCCATTGAAAATTCACATACATATTTCCAACAGTGTGTAGGGGCTTTAATGAGTCTTACTTTTTGGTTGATTGTTTTATTTTCTTTAGACTTGGGAATTTCTAACTGTAAAAAAAATATTTCTGGTATTTGATAAAACAATCAAACTTTAGAGTCTCAGACGTTTTGAATTCCAGATTTCTTCTATAGCTCTTCGTATTTTGATTACTTCTATAGGGATAACTCCAGGGGGTGGAGGGATTTCATTCTCAACTTCTCTCCAAGCGCTTTCTATTTTGACTATTTTTATAGGGATAACTCCAGGGGGTGGAGGTATCTCGTCGTTGATTTGTCTCCGTTTTAAATCCCAGATTTCCTCTATAGATCTCCGTATTCTAACTACTTCTATAGGGATAACTCCTGGGAGTGGGGGAATCTCGTTTTCAAAAATGGGACGTTGGAGTTCTAGCTTAGGGACTACGTTAGGGATTGATTTCTGATCGCACATTATAGGTGTTAGTCTAAAATCATAATGTCGCTGTCATAATCTACAGTCGTGTCACATTCATATAGCTGTTCTAGGTGTTCGTTATTGGGCCCTGGTCGCATGTGATTTTCCTGTGTGTATGCAGTCTGTCTGAGTGCCAGAGCTTGTTCCACGTCTAAGTCTATGATCTCGTGTACGATTGGGACTACAACAGGGGCAGGTGGAATAATAACTGGAATTAGTCTGGGAGTAGGTTTAACCAAACACACTGGACGAATTTTGATTGTTGGGTGTGTTAGCTTATAAAATATTTCTGAACCTGCTTTGATTCCTGATTTCTGGGTATGCTTGAGCCCTGATTTCTTGCCTCTCTTTGGCTTTGATGGACCGGAAGGCATTTTATTTAAAAAAAATTCAAGGAACAAACAGAATTATCTATGGTGGAGAGATAAGAAAGGATAATACTTAAACTAATTTATTAGAGGAAAATTTCGGACTCAATTCTGAAGAGGCAATGCCTTCCTTCTTTTTGGCAAAAATGGTTTACAAACGCGGCCGAGGGGCTTTCCAAAACGGGTGACTAGTACTTTGGCCAGCGCTTCCTGAGTGTAAGGAAATGAAAAGAAAATTTGAATCTTCTTTTGATCTCGATTTTTCTTTCGGAAAATCGCTCGGATACAGCCGAGGAATTTTCCAGTCATTCGGTTTTGTACTTGCAACCAGCGTAAAAGAGTTAGTATTCTTTTAGAATAAATAAAATTATTTTAAAAGGGCTTTATGCCTTAAATTGCCAGTAGCCTCAAAATTTTCGTCTCGGTTGTGGAAAGGGGTTTAAGGAACGGAACTAGGGATATATTCAAGTTCTAACAATCCTTCAAAACCAAAGATACCTTGTCCTAAATCGCACAACGTAGCGTCTTGCGATTCTACTACCTTGAAACAAATTTCTTCTCCGTTTATTGGCAAATAAACCTCGCCCAAAATCTGAACCAGCGTGTTGTTAATATAGTCGTCGTCCAAGTCTCCTTGTATAGTGCAGTTAGCGTTAAGGTTATATTGCGGAATATAATTACACTTTGTCAGTAAGTCAATGGGGATATTCAACGTTCCGTTTTGTAGTTTGTCTGTTTCTATAGTTATGTATGGTGGTAGATACAGAAAGTCACGTTCGTCTCCAATAGCAATTGTCATTTTGATTCATGTCGTCATTTTAGGAGATTATAGGAAAATGAAAGGGGCAAAGGAATCAGTCCAAAATTACAACGTCGCTGTCGTAGTCCACAGTCGCAGTTAACGGTTGAAGCAGACTAGTAAATTTTACTAATTTCACCTTTTGGTCGTTAAAGTCTTCAATGCGTCTAACTCTTAATTTTAAAGTGAAAGTGTCTGTCAAAAGGTCAGCTGATCGAACTAACGTCAAAGAAAGTTTTTTTTAAGTCGTGGTTGTTCATGACTGTGCCTCGGTGGAACGGGAATTTGGGGTTGAAAATCACAGAGTAATGTAATTTTTCTGTGACTTCTCTTCTGAAAGCTAGAGGGCTTCGGTGGAAGATATTAGTTTTAATAGTGGAAACCTTTCCCTCTCTTTGAATTTCCTCAATTGTTCTATGCTTATTAATTAGTGGCGCTACTTCGATGGTTTTGGTGTCGTGTGAAGCTTCGGCTTCTCGTTTAATAAGGGTCCCTGTCTTTGAGGAGTTCTTTACTTTTGAACGTCCACC